TATTATTTAATATTTCCACTTCAGTTTTATTCTTGAATTCATCAGCTGATCAATTTTTTGTTGTTGATTGAAATCAAAATATCATTCTTATTTGAGCAAAATTAATAATTAATGCGAAAACTAAGCACAAAAATAGCAATAATTCGTATTAATCTCTAAAAATATGAATTTTAAAATTATGTCAAAGTAGGTCAAGTTATTATATCAGTTCATTGCATGTAATTACTGAAGTAGAGATCTGAGCGTTCATTTTAAGCTTTGATCACTTTAATACGGACAGTTCATGAAAATCTCTAAAACTAACAATATTTACTAATTAAAAATGACTAATTAGAGTTTGTCGGTGAGATTTATTTAGTTAAAGTTTGGGAGGCAATTTTTGACATGTGATGTATGTGTGTCCAAATTCCAAAGATATCTCATTTCGTACTTTATTTTTATTTGCAATTTTTGATGCTGTGAGTTTTGGAAATATAAATTTAAAATGTGTTCAAAACTGTTGGTTCATTTTTCTAAGAAACTTTCAAAACATTACAAAATAATTGAAATTTGTAAGCGATTAAAAACTTTATCAGATAAACTCACAGAAAATTATACACATTATGCAAATTTCGACAATAGATTTCAGCTTGCATTAAGCTTGAGGAAATTAATTTTCAAGTTGAAATAACTCGAAGAAAGTATACAAGAAACCTTTCTAATAGCGCTCTGATGATCGTAATCTTCATCTTCTGTGATATCCTTTGTAGGACCTTCACTAGTTGAAGAAACATCTATGTAACCCTAAGAACAAACATACATTAAATTACTATAATCTTTCAAACTATTCGAATTAGTAAAGTAATACTTAGCCAATCGAAAGTTATTCTGTTTATGGGAGCAAAATTATTATCATGCAAAATCTTGCAATACATGCAAATTAATATTCAGACTAATTCAATACAATTGATTAAAAAATTAATATTGAGGGCGATGAATTGAAGGCATAATTTAGAAAAGTATTACTAAAAATAATTATAATTATGATTATGATTATATTTATTGGCAAAGATGCAAATTACTATTATAGTAAGTAATTAGTAAACAGTACAATTTTATCTGGCACACTGAGTAAATCTCTCTGATTCCAATCCTGATGATCCATAGCAGCAGTACTATAGTGAGACATTTTATCCCGATGATATAAACTTTCCTGCAATTTTTCTGCCATAAATTGAGATTTATAAAATATTAAGTGTCTTTTATATCTCCAAAAATATTCACAGATTAGTAGTAATTAAAAAATGAATTTTTTATGAATCAAAAAAAAAATAAGAATTTGAATTCATAAACAATTCTTTGCTTAAACTAAATAGCAAATGTCCATATGATTTTTTGAATTTTAAACTAAAATCCAAAAAATAAACAAACGGAAAGTTTTGGGTGTCATATATCGGTCCATATAAAAATTACAGTGATATTTTAGTTTATAATCTGAATACTTGCAAGAAAAAAGAATTTATTTCATCAAAAATAAAGCAATTTTAATGAAACATAACTCTCTGATTGAAATGAAATAGTAAATCCTTGAAAAAAAGTATAAATTTTCTCTTCAAAACTATTAAATTACTTCTCGAACGCAAATAACTTATTTTCATTTCACGTAAAAATCAAACTTTCTTTCAAGTATAATATTTAATTAAGCTAAAATAATTATTCAAAAATTAAATAAGCTAGAATAA